TTGGTCTGGGTATCAAACCTTAATTATTTTCTGAGAATGTGTCTGTAGCACAAAGTATGGTCTGTCAAGTACCGACTACTGTACTGTCAGCTGGAACTGTCAGTTTGTTTACTTATTCTTTGATCAGATAGTTCCTGATGTAAGTTTTTATTTTGCCAATGTGTTTTGTTGAACATACATGGTTATATTCCTCAAAATAAGGTAAATAATATTTTATCTATATTAAAACTCGGGTATCATATTGGCAATAGTATAACAAGACTAAAAGTCAACAGCTAGCAGCTTTGTGAGGCTGTGCTCAGAGCTAAATGCTAACATCAGCATGCTATAATGCCAATGCTAGCATGTTTATCTTCAGCAGGTGTAATGTTTACCATGTTTACCATGTTTACCATCTTAGTTTTGCGTGTTAGCATGCTAACATAAAGGTTTGGAGAAATACTCAAAACTGGATGGTTTTAGACTGATATACTGGGCCAATACTTGCCTTTAGAAAAATGTAGCAATCAGTCACTCACTCTTAATCGCTGCTATGAATAATGTGCTGCAGTTTTTTTGACATATTTATTGGTACCGGCGCTGTGAAACTCATACAACTCCAACTAGTATAGCTGGAGGTCTTAGCAGAGAGTTGTACCTCTTCAGGTCTCCCTTCAAGCCTCCTTGTTTGCTGCACAGGATTTGGAAAACATGACGACATGTCGGAACCGGGTAGGCACGTACTTGGCGTGTTCCTGAGACCGGGTGGAGGTCCGGTGTGTGGAACTGCACGCAGGAAAGCCAAACAGTCAAAGTGGCATTGAGAAACAATGAAGTAATGGAGCGAGAGAGGGCGAGAGGCTGAAACAAGGAGGGAAGGTGAATGAGAGATAGAATGTATAGACGAGGAAGAGGAGGGGTTGGTTTCTTTCCTCCCAGGCGCCATAATATTCAGAGGGTTTTGTAATAAACTATGACATCTTAATGTAAATGTGTGTCAGTTTTGCAGTGAATTCTCTTACCTTTGGACCAAACACCCACTGTCTTGTAATTCTTTCCCAGGAAAAACCCTCTGCTACACAGGAAGTCACTGGTTTCATATGTGTGCAGCTGCAGCAACAGCAGAGAAAAAAGAATGAGTGCAGAACATTTTCATCAGCAGAAAGTTCATAATAAAATGGTCAGAATAGTGCACATACTGTTTGTTTGACAGGAGAGAGGAGAGGGACTGGTAACACAGAAAGTTAGTCACGCATACTCAGCTCTCAGGGGTCAACACACACACACACACACACACACATCTGCAGTTTCTTTGCTTTCTGTAGAAATGTGTGAAACAATAGGTCACCAGAGCTCATGGCGTCCAGGGGTGAGAGAAACATGGACGTGTGGGTTGTGGGACATATGAACCCACAGATCTGGTATTAATGCTTGTAATATTATTGATACTTGTAGCGATACCACACGGGTGCAGTGCATTCCAAAGCTGTTTACTTATCCCTTCCTTTATAAACTCCAATGCTTCAATCCTGCTTGGTTTTGCAACAGCCATGGTTACTGTGATAACAGTAATTGTTGTTTAATACATCAGAAATACAACTGCAGAGCAGCTGGTCCATCTGTTTACACTGCAGACAAACAAACTGACATTGTTTTAATAAAATAGTCAGTAAAAATAATTGAAAATGATAGGATTTCGTTTCATTTATTGGACAGGAAAATAAATAGATATGCCATAGTACATGGTGCGTGCACTCTCACCAGGTGAGCTACCTGGGTGCTCCCAGGTGAATGCTATGTAAATGCTTTAATGTGAAGCAGCAGCAGTAGGAAATCTGAGATCTAATTACAAGAAGTAACACTGGATTACATACATGCAGTGTTTCCTGTGAATATCATGCAATTTGAATAGAGTAGCAGTGACAGCGCCACTAACAATGAAATCTACTATACAGAGGAAGTGACTGAATGTAAATACATGTCATGGGCATTTCTGAAAAAATGCTAACCATAAATAATGTCAAAAGCGGGGTTTGATTTCATAAAAAGCTTAAGGATTATAAGTTTAAATTTAAAAGGAAACCATTAAGCTTTGGGTGTATTGTTATCCACACCTATCACTTCTGTCGGCGTGTCGGCTTCCTTTCCGCACCACTTGCCACCCTTTTTGTGTGGTTGGACATGTGGTTTGCCTCGAAGCGGCATTTAGTCTCAGACAGAGACATCTGTGAAGCCTCTACAGGTGCTGAAGAAGCCTACAGTGACTGTAGCCAATGTGTAATAAAAAGCATTGCTAATATTCACTGCACATTCTATTTATAGTCACTTTAATCTGGGAGCAGGGTCTTGTAAAGTTGAACAGTAAAAGCCTTCTCTCTTCTAAAGAGATGAAATCAAATTGTCCACACTTTGGATTAGTGCCATTGTGTCCTTGTGAGGACACAAACATGCTCACACACTGTGGATTAAGAAGCGCCGATGAAAGCTTGAGTCATCGTCAGATCATAAAGATTAGAGGTGAGTCAGCTCCAACAGCCTCCCTCTGAGCCAGGCCGCTTGCCTCTTTGGAAGGCTGTAAAGATAAAGTACAGGGGTGGTTCAGTTAATTAAAGAGCGTAAACATAACACACAGTGCTAGCTAATGATATTAGGTTTATAGGGACCTGCTGTGGTGTCAGTTCTGTTTCCCCTGAACTTGTACTGTGGACTTCCAGACATAGAAGATCCACACCGGTGTCCCATGGCTTCTCCCCATGTGTGGAGCACCATGGGACACTGCAGTTCTGCTTTGAAATCCAGGATCAAACATATTCATGCATGCTTGTGTGAAATCCGATCAAGATGTTGTGCGTGTGGGTGTCTGTTGTGCAGTGAAAAGACAGGCGCTGTGTTGTTCAGGGAATTGCTGTGTGGAATTTCAGGGAGTATTGTTAACTTTCCAGTACAGTTTAAATGGAGCGATGCTGCAGGACTGGAGTCAGAACCTGGCATCCATCATCTCCTTCTCTTATTTTTTTTTCTCCTTCCTCTAACACCTCTCTCCTCTGTATTTTTCCCTCCTGTCTCACCCAGTGCTAATTAATAAGTTCTCTCCTCCCTCAAGCTTTCTCTTCTCTTTCTCTCTCCATCTCTTCTTTGTGGTCTCCTGAGGGATGAAGACTTCTGTACTGCATAACACAACAACAACACCTGCTGTACTTTGTGTGCGTGCTGTGTCTGTCCCCGTCCCTGCACTGGCCATCCCTACCTCTACCCTCCAGCTCCAGAGTTTGTTTCAGTTCTGTCCAACTCACTACGTCTTAAACATGGATATGAGCGATATTCGCAATCTTATGCGTAAAACTCAAGCCTCTATTCTAGAAAACGGCTTCCTGGGCAAAGGCGTCAATGATCTTAACCATGTAAGTGTTATCTTCACTTCTGATTCTTCATGCGCTGTATATTTTTAGGTATATGCAAACCTGGGTGGGGCTCGGTACAGTTTGGTTGAAGTGACACATTTTTCAACCACATTTTAGGTTTGGTTCATCTCAACTTGTAGAACCGCTGAGATCATCTTCGGGGCTGTTTTAAAGAAAACTAGACGGTATACATACCATCTAAAATCTGCACTTCGTTTTATCGTATGAGTCAGTGTGAGGTCTGTGAATGGCTTTTAGACTTCAAACAGTGGTTCATGGCATTGGTCTGAATGTGCTCTATTGTAAGATGAAAGCTGTAGGGGGGTCCTAAAAGATGTGATGAGATCTTATGGGACAGGAAGGACTTAATGAACCTCTGAAGTTTACTGCACACAAAAATGGTTCTACATCTCCGCAAACATTGGCTCAGTTCGTGTTAGTGATTAGGGGTTTTTTCCAAGGCCGATTGCAAACATTTTTGGGTTGAAGCTGATGAAAGATGATAATTTGTTCCCACATCTAGGGTTTAAATTTTAGATTTTAGAGGTTGTGGCAAAGAGACTGTGGGCCTGAATATAAACCATAGAACACTGAACCTCAATGAATTCCCTGAAGAATACATATTCTTGCATACTTCTGGTTCAGCTGTTGAATTAGATTCAACTCAGGATATGGTCCTCTCATAGACAGTGTGGTATTGATCAATTTTGCAATACATTTAAAATTAAAAACAACACAGACAACAACGCAGTGCAGCCAGCCAATACAGGAACTCAAGGTCAACTTACTGCCTTTTTCTAGAGCTTTTAGCAGCATCTCATGGTCTTCTTCATCACTGATAGGTACCCTGGGATGTGGTTGAAATGTACAGAAAAAGCTAAATGGTGGACCATGAGTTAGAGTGTGAATGTTTTATCAAAAACACATTGGTTTTTTAAAGAATTGTGTGCCAGCGTGCAATAGTGACACTTACTGAAATATTACCTCCAACACATCTTTGGCATTTGTCTAATTTCTTTGTACAGTCAGACAACATGAGTACAAATGTTTCTGCAATAAGCTGACATATATGGGATATGTAGAAAGAGATATATAGAGATATATGGGCCTAGACTATTTATTAGTCATACTACAAACAGTAACTGGCTTATTTTTTATTTTTAATAATAGAAATACTTTTAATGTATTCCAGCATCTACTCTGAAATCAGAGAGAGAAGCTGTTCATGCTGGCCTCCCTGCATCACAGTTTGAATTCCACTCCCACCTGATGGTTGTGCCAGATATGAATGTAATGTAATGTAGAAATAAATTTGTTTTATATCTATGGCTTGTACTGCATCTGTACCAGCTTTTCACTCTTTGATAATGTTGGAATGTTACACAAGTTGTACAATTTTTTTTTTTTTACCAGCAATAGTTGGTGCAGCACTGATTTATGTTTTTAATTGTGAGTTTCGTTTAGTCCTCTCCTTCATTCCTAACGCTGATGAGGATGGATTATGTGTGTGAGATGCATGGGACAAGCACAGTTTGAGTGATGAAGTGTTACAGTACATAGGTTATCCTATTCTATTCAGTCACTAACCCCACCCTCTGCTCCCTGCTTGTCCTCCTCTAGGTGGTGGCTAGTGACGGGGTGCGGGCTATGATGGAGTCGGCCCTGACAGCCAGAGACCGGGTGGGCGTGCAGGACTTTGTCCTGCTGGAGAACTACACCAGCGAGGCCGCCTTCATAGAGAACCTGCGCAAACGCTTCAAAGAGAACCTCATCTATGTGAGTGGTTGTAGTGAGAGAGATCACTACTACTTTTAGATTAATACTGATATTTGAGAGTAAAAATCTGAAAAACTGTATTGGCTAATATTCAGTTTTCATCGTATACATGTAACATAAACCTTTTTTAGAAGGATTCCCTTAAATTTGGTTATTAAAGAATTGTGACCAACATGTACTGAACGGGTTGTTCTTTGGTGTACAGTTTATGTAGTGGGGACAATGCTTCTAAATGACCTCTAGCCTATCTTTTGCATTTCTCTATTGCAACTTCTTGCTACTTATTGGCTGACATATGTGCCAATGTTTATTATTTTTATGATAAATTGTCGATTTAAAACAAAAATTGCAGTTACAGAGACAAAAATCGTCAATTGCTATTAATTCAAAAACTATGTGTAAAGAACAAGTACTGCCCCTCCTGATGAGAGATTTGGAGACTTTATCCAAGCATAATGGAACAGAGGTCATTTGCAGTTAAAAACATGACAGAATGACCTTTAAGACTCTCCTTAAACCATTTTAACCCTGACCTTTGGGGTGGTTTCCTGTAGTTGATTACAGCTATACTGCTTTTTCGCTTCATGAAGAAATGTTATGTCTTAGTTGGAGGAGCCAGGGCCAGCTGTTTGGTTTTACCTGAATTCGGTCTTACGGAAAATGACTTAAGAAAGTGTAGGGGTATAGTTGCTTTACATGCACACCCACACTGACGCAGCTAACGTGGAGTAAAAAGTCTATGAAACTGATAATGTATAAGTGGTCTGTTTATCAGTACTTTGTCATGTAATGTAACTGTATGTTACGCATGTACATCTCCATCAGACATACATCGGTTCAGTGCTGGTGTCAGTGAACCCATACAGAGACCTGGAGATCTACACCAAGAACCACATGGAGCGATACCGTGGAGTCAACTTCTACGAGGTCTCACCACACATGTAAGTACACAGCTAAACATTAACTTCACATTTTCAGAATTTAACTCACACTCAGAGTCAAATTACCTGCTTAAACATTATGGAAGACACAGTGAAGAGGAGAGAAGCAGGTTTCAGCAAATAATCCTTCAGAGCATACAATCATTATCTGTCATGTTCCTCCCTTCGGACAATCTCATATGGAATGCATTACATTTTTTTCCCGGCCCATGAATGCAGCATTATCTACGTGAGTGGAAGATGGAGGGAATGATTCATTGCACTTCTTTGCTATTACAAGTGAAACATGTTTTTTTACGATGGGCCTAAACATCGTCTGCATCATTCATGGTGGACAGCATGTTTACTGTTTTCTCCTTTTGCTCCAATGTCCTAAAAGAAGGAGTCTGTTGATGCCTCTTGGAGCATTTTACCCGAGGATGACTTAACATGTTGTCACAGTGTGTATGTTTAGACTGCATGGGAATATTTGTCCTGAGCGCCACTCTCTGAGTCAGTTAGCTACACAATGCTCTCATGGTCTGACTGTCCTTTTCTCTATCAGTCACCCTGTTTGCCAGACGTCGTCATGGCATGAGTCGGAGTGTTTGTGTGAACAGTTGCCACAGGACTGGTCAGGGAATTCCCTGTCAAACCCTTCCAGATCCCATAGGTCAGCTACAAAACAATCAAGCGCATTATGGAGACTTGGAGTGGCGTCATTGAAACATTTCAGAATCTCTCTCAGCTCTAACCACTGCTAGTTTTTTTTTTTTTTCTCTCTCTTTAGTTCAACACTTGAGCATAGAGCCAAATGTTTTCTCTCCCTCTGAGTGGAAAGAAAGATGTGCTTTGGCGAGAGGAGGTGGAGGAGGGTTAGAGAGTGAAAGCGGGCGGGAGAGGTGGAAGGAAAAGTAAGCAAATGATGGTACCAGGCAAGAGGTTTCCTCCCCAGAGAGGGAATTCCTCTGACCTGAACCTGACCCCCCTCCCCCTAGCCCCCAGCCCTCCCTGATATCACACACATACAGCACATAAAGTATGATGCAGCTGAGGCCAAGCTGCTGGTTTTATCTACCAATTAGTCTGGTGTCAAAAATGTGTCCATGCAGGCTGAAACAACATAGCTGCTCTGATAGCGGCGGTGCTGACAAATGATACTGCAACTAAAACAGGCTGTGTTCCACTCTGGACTTTATGATTCATACTGGTAGTCCAGTGTCTTTCCATCTTCACACAGTATCATGTTACGTTCAGACACAGGTTTTCCAAGAGATTTTAAGTGCTATTTTTTAACAGAACATCATCACCATGACTGATGAATAGTTGTCTCTTTTGTTACCATACTGTTCTGAATTATTAAAACGCATATTTTTACTTAACCCATTCATTCAGTTCAGTTTAATAATGCTGAATCGAAGTTTATATATTCAATGTATATTTAAAGCAAGGACCGTGGAATCGGAGGGTAGGGCCGGAGCCATACCAACTTTTAAATATAACAGACATGCCAAAAATAAACAAATTCTTTGGTAAACACTTTTTTATTTATACAGTCTGTGGTACGCATATATATATATATATATATATATATATATATTTATATATATATATATTAGCTAGCCTATGACAGAGCAATAAATTTCTGGTAATCTAAAAATGTATTGGCTAATTATGTCATGTAATGTAAAACATTTCCCATTCAAATTTGGGTGCCTACCCTTCTCTATGATACTGCGGTGCTGATGGGGCCGACCAATTTTAAATGCTTTCTGCGGTCCATGATTAAACCTGCCTTTGTTAGTCTTCCGAGCAGTTATTGGTCGAAATAAACCTTTATTTCAAAGAGTTAGATGTGACGATATTCCTTAACATGTGCGAGAAGATTATAAAAAGGACCTCTACAGAGATATAACACCTCCTATTTAACCAGAAACGGTTGTCATATCCACTGTTCCACTGTTCACCAGCTCTGGTTGGTCAAAATAAATACTTAATTCACAGACGAAGATGAGAAAAACAGCAGTTTCAGTCGCTCTACTCAGCTGCACACGGAGCAGACCGCCTGTGTAAACACACCTGAGAGAGGCTGCGATAGCAACACAGGCAAAGGGGGTGTGAAGTCATCTCTCTGTCACACCGTGACTCCACTATATCTCTAGCAAATAGTTGTCTGCTGCTATATGAATGTTTTAAATTCCATAATGTAAACGTTCTGCTGACCATCCGACTGACCCGGTGTCTCCCTCCACTCCTGCAGCTACGCAGTGGCAGACAACTCATACCGTTCCTTGAGGACGGAGAGGAAGGACCAGTGCATTCTCATCTCCGGGGAGAGTGGTGCTGGGAAGACGGAGGCGTCCAAGAAAATCCTGCAGTACTACGCCGTCACCTGCCCAGCCAGCGAGCAGGTGCAGACCGTCAAAGACCGCCTGCTGCAGTCCAACCCTGTGCTGGAGGTGAGACTCAGGGAAAAGTCCACACACTGAGAGCTACTCAGCACATTGGATTTGTTGTTGTTGCTACACTGTTGAATGATGGGCTGCAGAAATGGTTACTAATCTCAATGTAGATAATTTGTATATTGATCTGTTGATAAATGTGAGGCTTACTTGTTTTTTCTAAAAATAAAGCCATCACCCTGTCAGCTGTGTTTAAAATGAAGAGCTCATAAGTTGTTTGCCAAGGCTAACATTGTGATGCCAAAATAAGTACTAAATGTCAAACCATCACGAATAATGTTTTGTTATCTTTTTATTATAGCAGAGAGCTGTCATCCTAATGTTCTTATGTACTATCTCTTATAGCAGCGTAACCACTAGCCACTCAACAGCCTGTTTGATAAAGAGGCTTCCTTTTTGCTTTGATTTCACTTGCCAACAGTCAGTATAAATGTACAGTGGGTCAAAGACAGGGGAAATCCAGTTAATTGATTTATCTGCCACATATAAAGTCTAGTAGCATCTTTGTTAACCTCCACTGTGATGGTTATGATGCAGTTTATTTGATTATCCAGCAGCGTTTGAAGTCTAAAAGCTTCCTCAGAGGCAATAAGAAGCTTTCTATGATTTTTTGGATGAATTGTGGCTCAGTTTTCTTTGAATTCAAATCATTATTATCTATATCGATATGTAGTCCATGTTCATATTGCTGTGTGCTTTGAAAAACCAACATTGGCAGAACATACCTAGCATGCAAAAACACACATATGATATATTTGAGCGTCACAACAATTTCTTGCTCCCACATTTCTTTGGGAAATGTATGTCGAACTGTAAAGAACAGAGTGGTGATTGTCTCTGTGTTTGGTTAAAAGGCAGTGTGTTGGAGGATGAAGCCAATAGAGAGGTGCTAGGGTTTACAGAAGCACTTGTTTTGATGTCTGGCATGTCTGAGCCAGATGCTTTCCAGATGTGTATAAGTGTGTGAGCGTACACTATGCCCTGTAATCTGTGCTACTGTCGTAGACGAACGCTGTGGGGACTCTAATGCCTGTGGTTTTCGCTTTTTGTTTCACTGCTACCTCCTCATCTCCCATCCTGTGTTTATCACACTTTTTTCTCTCCGTTCCCTGTTATCTCTCTACCCCTTAATCCGTCAATCATCACTCCTCTCCTTTCTCTCTTTTCCCACTCTATCCTCTCTCCAGGCCTTTGGCAATGCCAAGACGTTGCGTAACGACAACTCGAGCCGCTTTGGCAAGTACATGGACGTTCAGTTCGACTTCAAGGTGAGCAGGACTGATTTACACTGGCAGCTACTTTACACCAGCGTAAACACTGTCCAACGCGTCTTCCTTCAGAGGGAAGCAGATTGTTGCAAGAACCGAAAATATTGTTACCTCAACATATTGAAAACCTAACAAGAAAAATCCAGACTCTTCTGTTCTGTTCTGCGTGATTATATTAACAATAAAAATATACTTAATGTTTTTGCATAGATTTTTTCTAGTGTAATTAATTACATACACTTAATATCTTATGGACTACAAAATCCCTGCCGACCTGCATGTTACATCAACCCTACATCACACCTCAGTACCCCAGCCTTACCCTCTCCTCCTCCTCCTTCTCCTCCCCTTCCTCCCCCGTCCCTCCCTGGCCTTTATCCCGTCGCCAGGGTGCCCCGGTGGGAGGCCACATCATCAACTACCTGCTGGAGAAGTCCCGCGTGGTCCACCAGAACCACGGCGAGAGGAACTTCCACATTTTCTATCAGCTGATCGAGGGAGGCGAGGAGGACCTGCTGAGACGCCTGGGCCTGGAGAGGAACCCTCAGCAGTACCAGTACCTGGTCAAAGTAAGTATCTAATAATAGAGCTGGTTCTGGAAGTAAAAGTCCCATTCATTATTCTCAGAGACAGATGGAGCACTGCTACGGCTTGGATGAACATGAAACTTTTCCTGTTAAATCAGCAGTACTAAAGTAACTCCTGTGCCAAGTTCTGCTGCAGCGCCCATGGGTTCAAGTCCGACCTGTTGCCCTTGCGTGTCGTCCCCTCCCTCTCTCCCCCTTTCCTGTCTATCTTGAGCTGTCCTATCGAAGTTTTAAAATAACATGACAGAACATCTAAATGCACAGGGAGTAACTAGTATCTGTATCTTGTAAATCTTGTGTTTGGAATGTTTAAATCTATCTTTTTGTTAAAGGGTAAACCGGCAACAATGCCAATTCATAGTTATAAGCAAGTCTCAATGAAGTCCTTCTCCAGCCACACCTTCGGCTCCGGAGCGAAACCTGTAGATGAATATAAACCATGTGTAAATACTGCAGGGAAGTTGCAGCAGCTCTCTCTCTCTCTCTC